TAGAAAACCCCGTCTAAGTTTAACCTTAGATATATACAGAAAAAAGGGGATGGATAAAAGAGAATACAGTAGTCTAGTGAAATTACCTGGATCAGGGTACCTATGCCACACACGAAATTATGTATTGGCAATTTTAAATGTTTTTACAATAACGCAACAGGAGTTACAACGAAAAATGTGCCAAAATACACTGTTTAACAATTATCTCAATCGGCTATTAAATAAAAAGTAACACCCTCTTTATTAATATCCAATTTGGCGATAAAAATCCCAATGGGTGAATTGGCACAATCTAGCCTCAATTTCATGTTGTAATGATACAGGCATGCAATGTTTACTTCAAGTAGCTTGTTAATATGGTTAACGAACTCAATAGATTTATATATAATATGATCATGACCATACTTATCCGATGGCATAGTCATCGAGTATGTAGACTAGATGGATATACCCACATTGTAATTAATATTACAAACACTATAATACCTTATCAGACTTGTTGTCGTCTAACGTACTTCAATATTTAAGAACATTAGTGAATGTATGCGGACGTCATGTACGTATACGGTACAAGATATAGTAGAGGACCACACTCAATAATTAAATCATGTAGAATATTTAACGAGTGGCGCCCCGGAGTATCCAGTTATGTCGGGATTAAGACGTCCGTCTACCAATCACGAAGAAATTATAATTGCTAGGAGGTAGAACTCGAATTTCGAATACTAAACGTGTTGAATAAGTCCTCCTTCATACTAAACATTAAAGATATTTTATATGATAGTTTTGGGCTCTTGAAATCAAGCAATTGCCATCAAGATCAATCCAATAAAGGGTACAATTAATTAATATATATATATATTACAGAACATCACAGTTTAGCCACAGTCTACTATAAACAAGCTCAAAGTCAGTTACATATGAGCGTAGCTATACGTTCTTCTAGGCAGGAGTCTAGCATACCATTTTATCATCTCTAACTCTTGCCCACTCTTACTCAACAGTCAACGCCAATTCTTGCCCACTCTGATTCAAAGGTCAATGCTAATTCTCACCCACTCTTACTCAACAGTCAACGCCAATTCTTGCCCACTCTTACTCAACAGTCAACACTCTTACTCAACAGTCAACACCTGTCCACTTTTACTTAACAGTCAACGTCAACTCTTGCCAACTCTTACTAAACAGTCAACACTCTTACTCAACTGTCAACACCTGTCCACTTTTACTCAACAGTCAACGTCAAGTCTTGCCCACTCTTACTCAACAGTCAACGCCAGTTATTGCCCACTCTTACTTAACCGTCAACACTCTTACTCAACAGTCAACATTCTTACTCAACAGTGAACACCTGTCCACTTTTACTTAACAGTCAACGTCAACTCTTGCCAACTCTTACTCAACAGTCAACACTCTTACTCAACTGTCAACACCTGTCCACTTTTACTCAACAGTCAACGTCAAGTCTTGCCCACTCTTACTTAACAGTCAACACTCTTACTCAACATTCAACACCTGTCCACTCCTACTCAACAGTCAACATCAATTCTTGCCCACTCTAACTCATCAGTCAACTAGGACTGTCCATTGTCTGCTAATCTGTTTTATCAAAGTAGCATGCATTGGGAAGTAGTTTTCTCAAGAGCATTAGGGTTGAGTTATTGAATTATTGCAGTTCCGTACGCAGTTTAGTGAGATATTCGCTCCAGAAGACAGCCTCAAGTCCCTACTGGCGCCGCTACCCCCTCAATAACGAAATTAATTATGCCAGCTTACAGAACTGGCAGGAGTCGTAAATGCATTTTGCCATCAAAAAACAAGATTTACTTGTCGGATATAAAAATAGGATGTCTTATATTGATTCGATTTTGATGAGAACCTTCTAGCTGTAAACACGATACACGTATCCCATAAACAAACTGAGAAACGAGCAACCATGATGCAACTTAGAACTATTTGTTTCCACAAGCCATGGGAATATAGGTACATCAGGGGAATAATAAACAATTCAAAGAGCAATAGATAATGCTGATCCATCGTACTCAATCGTTAATTTAGATAAAATATTCAGTTGTCCTGCAACTTGTGTTTTGATACTTGTGTTATCATTAACTGTTGAACACAAATGGTTTTTAAATATTGAAGTTTGTGTGTTCCAATGTTGGCTCTTGTTGAATCAGATTTGAAACGCGATGTACCAACAGAAGACTACATTGCTGCCAGTTCAGTAAAGTGGTATAAAATAGCATTAGTTTAGTAAAGGTGTGTGTTTGACAGTCTGTCATCATTCCTAGCATACCTGACCATATCTCCCGGATGTTGAGATGAATCGCGCATTCAATGTAATGCAAATATCTAATAACGTACTCATAAAACGAATCATTGGAGCCATGTATAACAATTAATATGCCATATATTGCAATGACTGGTCGCCTGTGGCGAGTGTATCATCGTAAACAAAAGGTTTAATCATTCAATGATTATCACCATTAATGACAAAACTATACATTATTAATTATTTTGTTTGATATTACAGTTGGATATTACATATTAAGTGTTTTGGTTGATATTACCTCTTAAATGTTAAAATATTTTGCTCTTCTAAATATCATTTTTTCTGGTTGACGATCGCTCCTTAGTGTATTTAAAAATAAAAATGTCAGTTTTTGGTTGATCCTACCTTTTTAATGAAAATTATAAAATATTGTGCTTTAAGATTTAGATTAAGTTTTAGGTGTGATGGTTTTGTATAGTATCATGCAAATATTTTACTTTTCTATGTATCAAGTATTGGGTGGATTATATCTCTTTATTGTCTTTAAAAATGCTCTCTTTATGTTAAGAAGTTGGTTGACGCTATACCTCTTTAGTCTATATTATAAACTATTTTGCTCTTCTAGGTTTCAAGTATTTTGGTTGATGATACCTTTTAGGGTGTTATAAAAATAATTATAGCTATTATTGTTTCCTTTCTTGTTGGTAACAGTTAGTGGGTGGTATAATGCATGTACATGTAAAATGCTTTGAAAACGATACACAACAATCCCATTACTCTTGTCAGCTGAAAAAGAACATGACAGTGAGAGATATAGGGACACAAGTGAGACTAATTCATAAGCAAACATTATACATACTCAGATGTAGGTCTGGCAATGTGAGTTGGTCGTATTTAATATTGTCACCTTTCAGTAGTTTTATGTCAAACATCACAATTAATTTGTACTCTTTAAAAGTTCGTTGTTAAATGTGATGCTATGATGCCCGAAACAAGTACATATGGTTCTTACAACATTACAAGTATACCGATAACATAACAAGTATGGTAAATATAAAATGATTATTACAAGTATGGTTATGGATGGTGCCCGTAGTAAGTATGGCAATATAAGATACCCATGTATTGCAATATGTGATGCCTGTAACAAATATTGTAATGTATGATGCCTGTAACAAGTATGCTACTATGTAATGCTATAAATAATGTAAAAAAATGGTAATATGTGATGGCTGTACAAGAATGGTAATATATGATGCGTAACACGTATGGTAATATATGATGCGTGTGACAAATGTTGTAATGTATGATGCCTGTAACAAGTATGCTACTATATAATGCTATAAATAATGTAAAAAGAATGGTAATATGTGATGGCTGTATGGTAATATATGATGCGTAACACGTATGGTAATATATGATGCGTGTGACAAATGTTGTAATGTATGATGCCTGTAACAAGTATGCTACTATATAATGCAATAAATGATGTAAAAAGAATGGTAATATTTGATGGCTGTACAAGAATGGTAATAAATAATGCGTAACACGTATGGTAATATATGATGCGTAACACGTATGGTAATATATGATGCATGTAACAAGTATGGTAATATATGATGCCTGTAACAAGTATGCTATTATATAATGCTATATAATGTAAAAAGAATGGTCATATGTGATGACTGTACAAGTATGGTAACATATGATACCTGTAACAAGTGTGGTAATATATGATACCTGTAACAAGTGTGGTGATATATGATACCTGTAACAAGTGTGGTAATATATGATACCTGTAACAAGTGTGGTAATATATGACACCTGTAACAAGTGTGGTAATATATATTACCTGTAACAAGTGTGGTAATATATGATACCTGTAACAAGTGTGGTAATATATTATACCTGTAACAAGTATGCTACTATATAATGCTATAAATAGTATAAAGAGAATGGTAATATATATGATGCCTGTAACAAGTCAGCTAGCTCAGAATGAATGTCTATAATTTTATATTTCTTGATTTTCATTCCAAGACCAAGATAATAAAGTCAGGTAGCAAAGAAAAATGTCTGTGTGCCAGGTTATTAACAATTGACTTAGAGAGCAATATTTTGGTATTACGTTTGTTTTCTACTTAAGCTAAGTAATAATTTTTCAATTTATGATGTTAAAATATACCGTAAATTAGAAAAGATATTAGCACTGCTCTTGGGTAGATGACAATTTTATGAACCCCTTGTTTCTTAGCCAGGTAAGCACGAAACGCGATGGCCGATGGGGAAAGCATAGAACTAATAAAACACATGATTACAAGCAGTTAGATGGAAATAAACTCCTAATTTCCAAACTAGTGATTTAACATTAAAAAAGAAGACAGTGTCAAATGACAGCACTTATATTTTTTCTGATAATCCAATGAAGGAATTTCAATAACTAATATCAGTTTAATGTTTAAAGAAATTTGTTCAGATGTACAAAACTCTCTGTATACTCAATACTAGTATACCCTTAAGGGATGATATGGGAAATAATAAATAAAATAAATAAAAAACAACAGCTATTCTAAGAAGATATTAATATTCTATCTGCGCGGGAACAACTAACTTAAAGAAAGAACCCAAAACAACAATAAAAATCAACTGCTTATGTCACATTTCACAACATCCATGGAAATTACGATAACTCATACAGCTTAATAAATTGATGTTTCCGTTTCAGCCTCAAGTGTTTCGACCTGGTGTGATTGACCCACAAAGAAGTTGGAAGCGCTTTATAACACATGACAGAATTAACAGTAGAAAATCTAAACCAAACAAAAATAAAATAATACATGAAAGATCGAATACAATACTTAGTGTAAGTAGAATTTGTATTTTAGGTATCTAAACAAACCAATGTTTTAGAATTTGTGTAGGTCACATTTTTCTTTTGATTACGATCATCATCATCCAAAATAAAGTTTTATTACTAATTTAGAAAAAACAGATGTGTTTAAATCAACCCTGGATAAAAATCAACAATTTTCATGAACATTCACCAACAATTTTAACAAATTGTGCTACATCCTGCTATGTTTATGGAATTTGTACTATTTTGTTCAAATACTCAACTAGACCCACCACACAGCTTACGTAATTCCATATCGTCGATTACAACGACAAACTACACTACCTATTTAAATTATAATTGATGATTATGTTCCTCCAGATAGGGCCTAGAGGTCCCCCTGGTCCTCCAGGACCACCTGGTCCCCCTGGGGCTGAGATAACCAAAGAAGTTATGATGAGAGAATTCAAGGAAATGGTCAGAGGTAAGAAGGTGTCATTTTTGTGAAATGAAACTGCAATCATGATGAAATCCATTCTCCGAACGCAGTGCTCCAGAGTCCAGACATCACCTAATCTGTTTTATTTTTTGTGGGTTGTAGCTCAGTGATTTAGACGGTCTTCATTTTGTTTTATGAATGGCATGTGAAAGTATATGAGGATAATAACGTAACCTATATGTTGTTCCAGATGCAGCCGAAAGAAGGGCAGAGAGGCTATTGGCGGAAAGGGTAAGCTAGGTACTTGTAAACAGTAATTTCATTATGTTGGTTATAACGAAAAGGGTATGACAGAACAAATAAATGGATAAGTAGTGCAATGAATACGATTGTTATTTTTATTGTTTTATTGTAGGTACAAAATATTTTCCTTCCCCTCAACGTAAAATCTGATTATTTTGGCCATCTCATCCACTCATTGGATTGAATAGTCTGATAGATATCCTTAGTCATTCTACCTATTTTTTCAAATTATACGTATGTAGTGCCTCTGGCGATATTGACATTACCCTGTTATTTTATAGTGTCCAGGTTGTGCGAAGAAGATTAATGGCACATATTACATTCCTCTGGTGGGAAGCGAGGAGTTCACTATGGTTCCAAAGATCGCTGCAGCGTTCCATTGCAAACTAAGAGGGAACGTTGTTGTTTCTAAGAAGACTTTTTTGGAGCTTCAAAATTTTCAGGTGGTAAGTTGTTCTAAGATACGGGCCTAATCATGAATCCGTTTCAAAATTTATATATAACCATTCCTTTGACATGTTTTAATATCCAGTAAAGTACGTTACGAAATCTAGTGATTTATGTTATACCACAAGCGACAAGTGCGTTATTAAGATTATGAATGGAAATGATGCGGTGTTACGCCAATAGAGTATCAGCGCCCTGCGTCTGACCCAAAGGAACTGAAGAGGTTATCTACTCTTTATCATTTTGATGGTTTTCGTGCATGCTGTTTCCATGGTTATGCGTTCAGTTTCCTACAATAAAACGACGGTATAAGTAGTGACCGCTTTTATACCTGACAAAACTACATATAAGTACTTGTGTTGGACTACTTTACTTCCTTTGTTATTGTTAATGCAAATATTCCTAGGCCTCGTTATCCATAGCCCTGTCATTGAACTATGTTAGAACCTTGATTCCTTATTGGAGTTATTTGTTCACATTCTGGGAGATGTCTCAACTTGGATGTTAAAGGTAGTATCCACAGATCTAGCGAGAAAAACATTGTTTCAATTTAGAATAATTTGACACACATTATTCCTTGTCATGTCTTTTTTCTAAAAATACCAAAAGTACACATTCGAGGAAAACTAACGATTTTTACAATAATGTATTTTTATTTCTATAAATATGGTCATCACATTCATAATTTTGGGAAAATTGGTAACATTTCCCCCATATTTGGCACTGTGCATCTTGAATAACTACTTCGCCATGAACATTTGACATGAACAGCGTTTTCAAGTTCACTTGCACATGTTACAGTATGCCTTAACTAATTGTTCACAGCCATATAGTCTCGAGAGCACGTTTACTGTTGGCAAGTTTACATTCATCAAATTGAATTAAAAATGAATATATAAGTATAAAATATATGAATCAATTTACCTCAATAAGGGAAATCAATATTTTGATAAATAGCCATTCAGAACTCACCTGCCACCTATATTCTTATTACATATCTATTTGAAAACTTTTGCATGAGGCAAAATTATTTTGGTAGTTTTTTATCGCTGTTGTAGTTTTATAATAATTGAAACCTTTCATACTTTCAGCCGTTTGGGGGAGGTGCCTTCCAACGAGGTGATGTGTTCAATACAAAGGAGGGGCGTTTTAGTGCCACCGGGGAGGGGATTTACCAATTTACAGTCAATATACATATAACACAGGATTTTTCACAAAAACGCCGAAGAAGTTATAAAAGTTTAAAGAAGCGAGATAACATACGGGTCTTAATATGTATAGAATCTCTATGTCAAAAACACACGTAAGTTTGACTTATATTGCTAATTTTATTCTACAATCGCACTATTTTTGTATAATCGTCAGTAATCGTAACTTTTGCAGTTCACCCGGGTAGTTTGTTAATTCCGAGACTGTACTGGGAAATAAAAACAATTTAGCTTCATTATTTATGATCAGATACTTTTTATTCTAATCATTACAATAAGGCCATAGTTTAAATCATGTACATTATAAACATTCGGAAACACGGATCTGATTGCTATAAGAAAATATGTGGAAAGTGCAATTTGGAGAATATTATATGTTTGGAATTGTGGTAGAAAGTTTGGCGTACCACACATTGCTCAATAAATCAACAGATACCTTTGTACATTGCCTGGTTCTCTTCCCCTCCTGGATGTTTATTTACGCCCTGCTTCATTAAGAGATGTGGAAATAAACAAATTACAAGAAAATGTTATTCTTCAAGAAAGATTCCATCCTGAATTGCCAATGATGTGTTTACCTCGACATTCTATCAATCTTCTTAAACTGTTCTCGGCTAAAGCTTTTCCCAGATGCTTGTGAAGTAATTGCTATTTAACATTGATGATTGAATAATCACTCATTAATGACCTTGTGGTCTTATTTCACTGTGGTTGAGCTCCAACAGATCCATTTTGGTAACAAAATGGCATCAATGTGATTTTTGTAAGTGCTTCTTGAAGACGGCGCTTTTTGATAAGTTTGCAAAATTGTGCCTCTTAAAAACGATACGTTTATCTGATTTAACTAGAATATACCAATAACCACATTTCAAAGGTCAGCACAGTGAAATCTTAGCCCAGGGGCTAAAGGCCGGGGCGGATAACGACCCCTATGGCCCTCCACTATGGCCCAGTACTATGGCTCCGCCTATAGCAAAATATCTTTCTAGACTAGCACTAATAGGATAGTTTCTAAATAGCAGAAAAATCAATGAAATCTCGTGCTGCCATCTTTTATTCAGCTTTTAACTCTGGCTAGAGCTCCATTCACTTACATGCTAAAATCTTGGAAAAGTGGCTTAATTTCATGATTTATCAAAGTGTGTTTGTTGAATCTGTATAAAACTTGAATGATATACCACATGATGACCCTGTTTATGAACATGTTGTGATTGAACATGCTAATGTTGATTGACATACAAATAATCCACGGTTTTAAAGAATTTTAGCATTGCATCTATGGACATTTGGCCCAACTTTTTTTAAATTGTCATAGAAAATTATTCAAATTACATAACTGTGTAAATCAAAGCTATTAAAGGAGAAAACATTCCACTGAATTCAAATATACCATTTAAAAGAAGGTAATGTAAGTCATTAGAGGTCTAATATGCAAGTCTCTTAAAATCTCACGAAAAACGAGATTTAGCGAGATTTCAAAAGCTATATGGAAACTATACTATTCCATGAGAACAGACCTCGTTATGAAAGTGGTGATAACTGATAATACACAATAGTAGCCGCAAATAAGAAGTATTTTGATAAGTATCAATTGAACAAGGAACAATACAATACAATACATATAAAGTAGATTTGGTATAGTAGGTAACAGGGTATGATACAAAGTAATAAACATTCTCATATTGTATGTTTTCAATTTTGCTAATAAATAAGCTATCAAACCTGTATGTTATGAAATTAGAAAAGTAACAATTGCAACAATTTTGAAAATAAATTAAGCTATCAAACCTGTATGTAATGAAATTAGAAAAGTAACAATAGTATAGTTTCCATATAGCTTTTGAAATCTCGCTAAATCTCGTTTTTCGTGAGATTTTAAGAGACTTGCATATTAGACCTCTAATGACTTACATTACCTTCTTTTAAATGGCATATTTGAATTCAGTGAAATGTTTTCTCCTTTAATAGCTTTGATTTACACAGTTATGTAATTTGAATAATTTTCTATAACAATTTAAAAAAACTTGGGCCAAATGTCCATAGATGCAATGCTAAAACTCTTTAAATCTGTGGATTATTTGTATGTCAATCAACATTTGCATGTTTAATCACATCATGTTCATAAACAGGGTCATCATGTGGTATATCATTCAAGTTTTATACAGATTCAACAAACACACTTTGATAAATCATGAAATTAAGCAACTTTTCCAAGATTTTAGCATGTAAATGAATGGAGCTCTAGCCCGAGTTAAAAGCTGAATAAAAGATGGCAGCACGAGATTTCATTGATTTTTCTGCTATTTAGAAACTATCCTAATATGCGACAATTTTGAAAATAAATTAAGCTATCAAACCTGTATGTAATAAAATAGAAAAGTAAAAATTGCGGCAATTTTGAAAATAAATTAAGCTGTCAAACCTGTATGTAATGAAATAGAAAAGTAAAAATTGCGGCAATTTTGAAAATGAATTAAGCTATCAAACCTGTATGTAATGAAATAGAAAAGTAAAAATTGCGGCAATTTTGAAAATAGATTAAGCTATCAAACATGTATGTAATGAAACTAGAAAAAGTAACAATTACGGCAATTTTGAATGTAGAGCTCGAGGTAATAATTTGTGCAACTAAAAGTTGTGCACCTATAAACATAAATTTTCAAACAAATATAAGGTGGACATTTTAAATCGATCTGCCATTTTTGATTTTTTGTCTTCAGAATTTAAAGTCCCGGTATTTTATTTAGCGATGGAGCAAACGAACGGATGGACAAACAATGATTCTTTTCATATATTCTCGAAGTATAGTACCACACTTTTGTTTTTCCAACAAAGTCTCACAAAGGAGTGAGTTCTCTAGTAAGTAATGAGTGATTTGTTATATTTTTCCAGATCACTTGAGTTTATATCAGGATTAGAAAGCAACAGTAGAGTGTTCACCATAAGTGTTAGCGGGCTTCTGCATTTAGAGGTAAGAACTCTCAAAAATGAATGTACATTGTGAAAACATGGTCTGCATATATTATATACATAGACTATATAGTACCTCGGGCAGGTTGAATGATGCAGTCGTGTTTTTACTCTATACTGTGTGTTGAGTTGTGATTAACCCTACTATCACACCAAACTAGTTCTCACTACGTTTGTACGAACGGATTGGACTTAGGACCGTTTGAGGTATATTTACAAACTCAATGGACCTACTCAAAGAGTGCCAAACTGCTTTTAAACTGTGTGAGAACGAAATGAACGTAGGTGCAACTTTCTACGGTCTATTTACGAAGTTCATGGACGTGCTCGGACGGGAAGGTGATTTAAAAGTTAAAATCATTTCAAAATGCGATGGCGACCGTGCTGTTCTACTGATTAGATCGTGGGACAACGTACTTCAAACGAGAATCAGATAACCTACTAGACTACGAACGTAATTACCGTACTTCGACTCTACTAGGGACGCGTTCGACGTTGTGTACATCGACATGGTGCGATCTGAACGAACTGCACATGAAATGGACGTATTGAAGACTGTTTATGAACGAAGTGGCTAATTATTTTAGACAAATTTTCCGACTACAGTCACATTTAGCCCGTTTACGACTTTTTTGATAGGGGGTATGTGAGCTATTTCGGAATTTAGAAAATTGCGCTTAAATATCCATTTATTCGAAATTAATTTATCAAAACAATTCTGAATTCCATAGAGAAAATTACCCTAGAATGAAAAGAAGAATACAAGTATGTAACACTCAAAATTCTATGTTTTAGTACGCATTTAACAATATTATGAGTGCCACAGTCTACTACTAGTATTGAAATAACCAAATTGGGCCTTGCGTGCAACGTTCAAGTTGAACTAGAGGCATTCACTTTTGAGTCATTCGATCACCAATATTTCTTGAATTGCTATTAGAAATTTATCCTTGAATGGAGGAGTCTTTTCACTAATATCTGCAATCTTCAATCGAAGTATGCACCATACGCAGACTCTACTTGCAGAAAACTTTTATAGGCCTCCATTCATTATGAACGAATCCACTAAACGCAGGCCTTGCGAATTGGGTAAATTGTAAATTATGGGGATTTGGAACGTAAACAATGCGAACCGAAGCGCAACTTTGCGCATGCTTCCGAAGCCGTCCGAAGCTTTTCGAAAGGATACCTCTATATACGAACGCAACGATGTACATGCAGCGTACAATACAAATGGGGACGAATTTTACTCTCAAGTCCTATTCGTCACACACAAGTTGACATTGTAGGGGGGGGGGGGGGTTCGTTCATACGTAAGGGGACCTTTAGGTGCGGAAATCCTGCGTAACCAACGGTCATCTATCAATCTGAACGTGTTATGATTTATAAACTAATCCGTGCTGGGTACTCAGTTATATTCTTGTATTTGTTGTGTAGATAATACCTAAAAAGGGAATTGTGTAAATAGCCGTGTACTTCAATCTTATAACCACATGATCCGCACTGAGCGCTTTCTACAAGCACTGTCTGTATAAGGTACAGATAGTACGTACATAATGCCTTGGTCACATTTGCTCCGATTTTCACTACGGCGCCCGGCCGATTGAGTATTTTGTTCAAAATTGAATACTTTATTGAGCAAAGCACTCAATCGGCCGGGCGCCGGCCGATGGATCGGAGCAAATGTGACACAGGCATAAAAGATTTTCTATGGAATATGCCATATACCGCAGGTGAGTATGGCATATTCAGCCGTATCACAAATACCGCGCAACCATGAATGTATGCCATATTCCGCGTAACAACTTTATTGAATTTTGAATATTTAATGACGTAAATCGAGATTATTTCTACTCGCATCTAGTCTATTAAACATATGTTTTTTTGTAATAAAACAAGCGCAGGAGAGACATGTGGCCGATCTTATACTCATTGACCATAATAATCGATTTGCGTTGCTGATTGGTTGATAGATGAAAGTAACGGAAACACCCGAGAAAGTCACAAAAAGGTGTAATTTAAGTCATGGTTGCGAGAAGCAGAGAAACGGGCCGTTGTTTAACAAAACTGACGGAAATAATAATTGAATTTTCTTTCTTTCCAGGCGGGCCAATATACATCTGTATACATAGACAACAGTTCATCATACCAGGTCACAGTACAGAGTGGGTCAACATTTACAGGTCTTCTCGTAGGCGTCTGATACTAGCACACATACTTGTACATAAGTCTGATGTGAGGGCCAAGTCCTAGCGTCCCTGATAGACGAAACGTGCACGACTGTGCACGTGTACTATCACATGCGAACGTAACGGGTATGCAAATTGCATTCGAAGCGTGGTGTCGGTCTGGGAAATGATCAATATAAATTAATATGACATTGGATGGAAGGAATCCCATTGCTGAACCATATTGGTGTTTGTGTACCCAAAGTCATGACGTCATTTGACCTAAATTTCAACTGGCGTGACGTCGGTTTCAACCTGGTTAGGATGGAATATTACATTCACCCCAGAATAGCCTGACAACGGTAAAGTCAGATACCGTTGTAACAAATGGCGGACATAATCGTCGCTTCAATTAGATTTTCATGAACTGTATGTTTAATAGAGCAACTAGACTAAATTCCTTTGGAACAACAATCAATCAAAGTGTCTTAATACTCATTGTACAGTTAATAATGTTCTACCATCGAAATAAAGTCTTTAATCTAACCGATCAAAATGAGATACGAGACAACGGACACTGTACTTACCATATGCCATTGTCTTTTACTCAAATTCAGATTCCGCTGTCATTGACGATATCGAAGACGCTATATTGTGGCGATTCACGACCCAATTTGATCGAAAATGGGATTTCATATGATACATTATCACAAGAGCTTAATCCATGCACAGAATTAGCGACGATAAAATCCAATGAAATGAGGACCAAGTGATTAAACAGTTGAAGCGGCGGTTATGTCCGCCATTTTGTGACAACGGTATCTGACTTTACCGTTGTCAGGCTATTCCGGTGTGACATTGCACACATAACTGTGTACACCAGGTGTGTGGTTCTTCATAAATTCTAACATAAGTGAATGCCTTGTGACCTGTCCTGCTTTGACGATATAGTATAAAGAATCAAGTGGACAAAATATCTATTGATGTTGTAAAGTAGCTTAAATGTTATTAAGTTCCACACAGCGTTGTTACTATTGTAGTATTATTGTACTATCCACATGCAATATAGGTCAACATGTAAATGAATATGACAAAAAGTATGATATACTTTTTTATTACGTTATACATTTTTATATATTTATTACAATGTAAATAATTATCTGTAAATAAAATTCCAGATTAATATAATTTGTTTAAAACAGTAACAATAACAAGAATACATACGAGTCGATAAAATGTGCATTTAAATGTAGTCAAATATGTCCCAGTCCAACCTGGGGTGCTTTAGTACTTCTTATTTCCAACAGTTTACGTATACCTTCATGAAAATACTGAAAATATATGTTTTTCGCAATATGCCAGTTTCAACTTTTTAGCGAAATAAATTCACTTATCAAAAGCTAACTATTACACTTTTGATTTTTCATACGCCTCCTCAATGGCACTGGACGTGTCATGCTGACATTAAAGTAATATATATTTGTTCGATATATTTTTCACGGTACGGACAATTGATTGTATATTAAAAATGACATATTTGCGAAATAACATCCACCGAATACATGTTGTATACATTTAATAGTTCACTGTCTAACATCTTGTATATTTTCAATGCACTCTTCATACACTGTGGCTAGTCGATCTATGTGGATGCAGCCAGGCACATGTAATGTTTCGTGAGTACCCGCCCCTGTACTTTTCAATGGAAGAATATTGCACTTCTGTTTAAATAATCTATATTTACTCATCCGTGTATATCATACTTCATTGATTTACAAAACCAAAGCTACGCTATAAACACACATTCTCTGATATTTTTTCGGAGAATAGATAACTCAAACGAGTTCACTCGACCAGTTTTATCATCTCGCTCACAGCTGTGAGAAGGCTGTATAATTTGCTATATACTCAAGGGGCGAGGAGGGAAATTCTCAATAAATGGAGTATAGTTGGTTTGGCAGCATTTTCAGTTAGGGGAGAGTCTTGGATGAAATTTCCACCTAGGTGATAGCTTCACAGAGTGGTAGGAAGTTCTTTTTTTGAAGAGTTAGCCCCCTACCCCACAAAAACACCCCACCCCGGGGAAAAAAATTGTTCACACTAAATAACCTTAGATATTTTGATGTTTGTAAGTGACATACCTAGATATTATATATATGAATCATTTGCAGTATAATTGATGCTGATTACTCCTAAAAAAATTGAATATTAGTACAAAGTGTGTACCCAAGGGGGCAAATTCGTGACCCATTTCCTTACAATTTTGATCTTAACTTTTCAACTAGACACTGTAAGAGGTTGAAAAAATTCATGTGAAGTGCCCAATAGCAGGGTTAGTAACCCTGAAAGATGCAAAGCCATGAAAGAAGTAGGAGCTGAGAAAAAAATTGTTGATTTTTAGAAAACTTTGACATTTTTGACCACTGGATTTTGTGTATGACTATAGCTGACCCCTATAGTTTCTAGATCCATCCCTCTATGATGATATTTATGGGTTTACAGTGTGGAACTAAGATGTAAAACATAATTTAGATGGGTTTTAAGGAAGTTAAAGGTTTTAAACAAGTCCAAAATTTGAAAAATTGTAAATATAAGGTTTCAAATTTACGAATTCCAGGTATAGCCATGGCTGACCCCTATAGTTTCTAGATCCATCCATCTTTGATGATATTTATGCTTTCATAGTCTGAAACTAAGATATAAAACATAAATTAGATGGGTTTTAAGGAAGTTATAGGTTTTAAACAAGTCCAAAATTCGAAAAATTGTAAATGTAAGGTTTCAAATTTACAAATTCCAGCTATAGCCATGGCTGACCCCTATATTTTCTAGATCCATCCCTCTTTGATGATATTTATGGTTTTGTAGTATGGAACTAAAGATGTTTAACATAATTTAGATGGGTTTTAAGGAAGTTAATGATTTAAAACAAGTTCAAAATTTGAAAAATTGTAAATATAAGGTTTCAAATTTACGAATTTTAGGTATAGCCATGGATGACCCTTATGGCTTTTTCATCAATACTTCTATGATGAAACATATACTTTTAGAGTGTGAAACTAAGATGTAAAACATACCGAAGATGAATTTTAAGGAAGTTTAAGAATTTTAACAAGTGCAATATGAGAAATGTGAAAAATTGAAAAAGATCAGGTCTCAAAGGAGCACGGAAAGTATCGCAACAGATTTCAGACAGTCATATGTTGGGTTTTGTCGGTTTTCTGAGGATTTAAGCAGGTGCATATGATAGGCCATTGCATTACCTACGGGAAAAGAACTCTTAGAGATAATAAAATAGTTTGGAATTTGAGACAGCGAAGGTGAAAACAATCCACCCACATGTTTTTTGGGAAATGTCGTCCTGATTTTCAACCCCGTTCAGCCCTGGTTTTTCAATTTCTGTTGCATCAATATGTTGCGTTTTGAGACATAGTTAACCATTAAAAGGATAAATTTCTTTTGCATAAAGCGGAAAACAATATTTTCCTGTTATTTTCCCATAGGGAAAACTCATGTGATCCATTGCTTTCAGCTTAATTTTGGTCACCCATATTTGATATCTTTAAAATCCCTGATGGAATGTATTTTTCATTTAAATGGGTTAACTGTATGTAAAAACACATATATTTATACATATACACATATATATTTATGCATGTGGGTGGGTTGTTTGCACCTTCCCTGTCTCAAAATAGAAATTATTTTATCATCTCTATGGGTGCTTTTCCTGGAGGAAATGCATTGGCCTAACATATGCACCTCCTCAAATCCTCAGAAAATAGCCAAAATCCAACATATGATTGCTGAAATCTGTTGCGATACTTTCAGTCCTCCTTTACGATTTCAGGTATAGCCCGGGATGTCCCTCTTTTTGAATGTATGACTTAGCTTAGAAATTAGATGTTGAAAATATTGTGGTCATGTTTGATCCATGTTACATGTATTGTTAAAAGAAAAATCATTAGAGTTGAGGACTTAACCCTTGAGTTCCTAAGGGGTTGAGAGGTTAATAAATCCCCCAGTAAGTGTAACTGCTCCTAGGGATATCGTATACAGTGTAGTAATTGATTGATCAAATGGATTATAACTAATTAATTATTATTTGATGATATTTATTATTTTTGATGGAGTAGTCAAATATAGCTTTCCAAAACTCTCCAAATTTCAACATATAAGTTAATCTTCATTTTCCCTTTGTCATAGCCATTGCATCAATCACGAAAGTTTTATCAATTTGTGGTATGGTTTCATCGATCTCCATTTCAAACCCCTTTTTAAGTTCTGATTTTACAGGATAAGATAGATGATCATTGTCAAACGAACTGTTTGTATCCATATAAGATCATAGTTTACTCACACATTTCTAGGCAAGGTGTGTCCAATTCCAGCCAATTCAATATTCCATATAACTGCATTCCAATTTACTACTCTCATAAACCCAAGGTCAATTTTAGATTCTAGAGAAACTAATGAAACTAATGATCATAGGGAATAGCATGCCAAGTGCTTGTATTTGAATTTATGTGGATTACTCATTTGGTAGACACCTTTATCAAATGTTAAAGTGTTGTTGATTTTCAAGTTGTACAAGCACAGTGTCATGGGTGCTTTCTTTTCCTGACATAGTATAACATTGTGGTAAAAATTATCAAAGGCACCTAGTACAGTAGTTCTAGTTCATCATCTTGTATAAATGATATATCAGCAGTGAAACCTGTATATCCCAACATCTGACTATTGTGAACACCTACCAATCATCCCAACACCTGACTTATCTGAAAACCAACCAATCTGAACACTTTTCCCCAGTTCAATTTTTCCTTCCTCCCATTGACTCCTATGTTTAAAAATTGAAATCTGAACACATCTTAATTCGAACAGTGAACACTCATATTTGAAAAATCAACCTGTTTAACTTGAACTTTTTTTTTACCAAATATCACATATTTCTTACAAAATTGCTCAAATATTGTCAGTTTAACACTGAATTGTTATGATATCAAAACTTTTGAATTGGATTTTGGAATGCTATTAAGCTTTTTGGGTGGTCAGTATAAATATTATTAATATTTATTAATATTTTTCATTGAGAATGCATTCATATTTCTTCAAAATCCAGAATATTGCAGATGTAAAAACCTCAAAATTCAAACACTTCTAATTTGAACGCTTTATCTGGTCCAAATACTATATCTAGTAGCATTCAGATTAGAAAGAATTTACTGTAGTTCATGACTTTTCACTCCATCTATATGCAGCAGACTAACTGCTGCAACAGGTATATATTCTACACCTGGTCTCTAAGCTATGATATCACAGTTGTTACTATTGTGCTCATAACCTTCGATTATGAGGGCTAATTCAAGGCTGTACCTGAATAACGTGAATTTGAGACCAATTTTCGAAATCAATTTTTCAAATTTTGCACTTGTTTAAAACCTTGAACTTCCTTCAAACTCATCTTATGCATCTTTTACATTTTAGTTAAATACTCTA